CTACAAACATGGCCGAACGGGGTGGAGTCGAACGCTCAGTGACCTGGAAGGGGCGGGGAATGAAATATCTCATTTATATTTAAAGAGACCAAATTTTAGGTTTCACAAACGTTTCAAATCCTTTAAGATTTTAAATACTTTCCCTCTTAGTGATGTTAGACTGAATGTTCAAAGATAATGTTTTTATGAGCCCTATACATAATCAGTAAAATCTTATAATCAAACAACTCATAAAATGTTTATAATTTAAATTCATGAAATAATATATTTGATGGGTGAATTTTGATGATTATAACTAACTAATGAAAATCCCAAATTCAGAAAACTGAAAACTCAGAAAATTAGAATATTGTGAAAAGGTTTAATATTAAAGGTGTCACACTCTATTCAGCTAATTAACTCAAAACACCTGCAAAGATCTCTCAGTGGTCTCTCAGTCTTGTTCTGTAGGCTACATAATCATGGGAAGACTGCTGACTTGACACTTGTCCAAAAGATGACCATTGACACCTTGCAAGACACAAAAGGTCACTGCTAAAGAGTCTGGTTGTTCACAGAGCTCTGTGTCCAAACACATTAACAGAGAGGTGAAGGGAGGGAAAAGATGCATTAGAGATTAAAAAAGATAGAAACAGAAGAAAATAGAGTGAATAACAATGTAGATGTTTCATGTTWATGTACTGGCACCTTCATGAGCAGTATCATCTGTTGTAAATTTTGTGTTGCATGTCTACTTATGTATAATATTGTAAGTGTAGAAAAGAGTGTGTGTGTGTGTTTGTTACAGGTGATATTTTTAGCTGTCATGCTGTGGACAATCCAAAGCCCCAGGCAGAGCTGGCCATGCTGAAACAATACGGCCCTGATGTTCCTGAAGCTACTCTACAGAAACTGGTGGCTGCGTTTGGAGAGCTGAGGTCCATGGCAGATCAGGGCACCATCTCCTACCCCTACTCCACTCGAGAGGTGGTCAACATCGTTAAACACCTGCAGGTAAAATGAATCAAGATGACATCTTAAAATACACTGTTACACATCAAGGTGATATGTGCAAATGGAGGTTTTCACATTACGTGCATTAATAAAACACCTCTAACTCAGACTTAGACACCTTCTGGTTGTGTTTTCTGAATGGATCAAGACAGCAGGGGTGGTCGAAGCCATCCCGCCCCTGTTGCATCTTTTTTATGTAAAGCAAGGTGRTAACMGAGCAGAAACATTYAATACACACATRGACAAAWTTGYTGGTACCKCTTATTTAATGAMGAMAAAACCYACAATGGTCACAGAAATTACTAGAATCTGTAGGGGTCACCTCGAGTGAAGAAACAAGATTTACTGCCTCGAAGCAGGCCTCGGACAGGCCTGACGAGAAGACAGGAACTCTGTCACAAACTGAACTCTATTTAGGCCATGACAGGTCATTCTAACCGTGGAAGAGAACCCCTCAGTTCTCTTAATCAG